TAGACAGTATGTATTATATTATTATTAGGGCTTGGAACTAAATGCACTTAAAAAGTACTGAATATACATGCACTTATGCGCTTAAAAATGTATAAATATGCTTTAAAAATATGCACTTAATTTTTTTTAACACAAAAGTGTTCATAAATAAAGATATTTTATTAAATATACTCGTACATAACAACATTACAAATGTTGTTAGTATATTATACTAAGTTAAACATAATTTCTAGGTATAAATATATAAGATAAAATAAAATAAAATAAATAGCTTGAAATTTGAAATTTTCATTCAAAATGTATCCATTAGGTTTTTCGTAGTGTCATGAAAATAATTTCAAGGTTACATAGCATTAAATTGAATAGCTCAAAAAAATCATCCATATGCAACATCTTCTCACCCTAATTATTAAGTATAATTTTATCATAGAATATTAAATTATTATTATTAAAATCGGTAACTACACGTTCAAAAGTTGACTGAAATCAACTTCACGGTAGCATATGGTTAGTGAGGAAACTATTTATTATACGGTGTACCTTTATATAACAACAACGTTCAGCCAATCATAGATAATTATTTTAGAAGACACGACACGGCACGGTGAAGTGTGAATCCGGTTTAACACTAATATTTTATAACCACAATAGTTTTTATACCATGTTATGTCGTGACGATGCTGCCTTAGCTGACCACCGTTAATTGATTATTATTATTAATTATATTTCAATAAATATTATTAAAACTATTATAAAATGCCTGAATACATTTTTAAATTTGGCGGTGGGGCGGGATATAGATGAACTCTTCTTACCTAACCTGCCAAAAAAAAGGATTTAGCCCCTTTAATTTAAAAATTCTGACTATGCTGCTGGATGAGACGACTGATATTTCAGGAATTGAACAAATGTAATTTTGTATTTGATACATCAATCAAAGTCCTGATCAGAAATTAATTTTACGTGAAGACTTTTTGAAAAAATTGGCTTGGCTAAAAGTAAAAAATACAACTGGTAAAAATATATACAATGTAATTTTAGATAGTGTTACTTTTCTTGGTATAAATCCCAAGTATATGGTAGGACAAGGATATGACGTGACGGCTGAAATGAGCGGAAATTTTAAAGGATTGCAAGCAATTTTTCGAAAAAAAAATCCGGTCACACTTTATAAGCACCGCAGTGATCATTTTTTAAATTTGACTCTCTCTCATTCATGTAGTATTCAAATATTCGTAATAGTATTGGTACCATGAAGTCGAAGGGCAATTTCATAAAAAACTCAGCAATGTGAAGAGAAGTTTTAAGAAAATACATTAAGAAACAATTTTCTGAAATGAACCAAAATCACTTCAATGTGTGAAACACGTTGGGTGGAAAATCATTACGGACTAATACGATTTACAGAAATGTATAACGCTATTGTAAATACATTTGAAGAATTACAGTTAACTTTTGATATTGAAACGTCATCAAAATCGTTACAATTAGGAAAAACTGCTATAACAAGCGGCTTTGTTATAGTATGATCTCAGCCATCTATACTTTTTTCCTTAACATTACCCTTGTATAAGAACTTACAGTCTATAAATTATGATTTGACTGAAGCAATGGAGCATGTTGATACTGTGTTATAAGAAATAAAAGATATGTGGAGTAATATGAATAAGCAATACATTTTCCAAAATATTTAAAAAAGCAGATACTCCCGTAAAATCAATTGATGACGAAGAAGTTATAAAAATACCTAGAATCGTTGGACATCAAAAAATAGAAGTAACATTGTTATGGATTCACCTCAAGAATATTACCGAATTACAATAGCTATTCCTTTTTTTGACGACTTCATTAAACAACTTTAAACAAGGTTCAATAATCATAAAAATATCATTTCTTCAGTGCATAAGTTATTATGAAAAATGTGCAACAAATTTGAGATCAATTTAAATTATTTTGAAATATTTTAAGCATTTCTTAATTTAGAAGTACTGTTACAGGAAATTAAACTATAGAAAATAAAATAAATTGAAAATGTAGATAAAGACCTTTCAAATTCGGCTATTAAAGCATACATTAAATGTAATTATGATGCAATTATATCTTTTCTATTGAAAATATTAGCTACATTACCAGTATTGACTGCTATGCCAGAGCGCTCATTTTCTACCTTGAAAAGGTTAAAAAAACTTTTTAAAAAATTCCTCAGGTCAAGAACGACTTACAGGTATAGCTGTTCTGAGTGTACACGGACAGTATCATGTTATATAACGATGGTTATATTCTCATACAATTTTTTATAGATAAAATTGGTAACAAATGTATATCATCAGTTATGCGAGTAGCTATTTATCATATTACCAATAGTAGTATTAAAATGACTTCCCAAATACTACCGTCCAACTTACGCGCAAATCACTAACTCTTCAAACATATGATAAATATGCAATAAGTGTATTATTTTAAATCGTAGATATACTATATTAGATTTTTTTAAACGTGTATGTATCAGGGACTGGAACCTATAAGTTTTTTCGGTTTCGATTTTGGTTGTTCAATTAAGTTTTTAAGGCTTCCGGTTTCGGTTTCTGTTTTTTAAAAGAGTAAGGGTTCTAGAACCGATTAATTTCGATTAATTCTGATTATTAGAGATTTATTAAAAAATAATATGAAATTATTTATTTATTTTTGTTTAAATTGTAATTGTTTTATTTTATTAAAATATAAGGTATTATGAATAGTTAAAAAAAAATAATTTTAAATATATTAAATAAATATATTATATCAGCCTATTATATTTCTTTGAGTTAGGTTAAGTTATTTTATTCCAACTCATAGTAAAAATTTGTAAAATATTTTGTAATATTGAGAAATATTATGATTTGATGAAATAAATATCTTTGATTTAAAATTTAATTTTAACTAGGAAAGTTAATACTGGCTATAGTAGCTACAAATTTGTATAAACATCAATTATATTGAATACTTAAATAACTTAATAGACAAGATAGATGATATACTCATTGTAAATTGTAATATATTAATTAACATACAAAAATAATAATAATAATAATATTACAAATTTACTTATTATATGCATTACACTATTACAGTTTACTACACAAAACAATAAAAACATAAAAAAATTTGACTTTTATTTTTCTGAACCGACTAATGGACCAAAAAAATAGTCATTGCCATAGTTTTACTAATCTAAATAACTGACCTAAATTAACCCTTTTATAATTAAGGTTACGATTACGATTTTTCATTTTTGGAAATAAAGGTTCCGGTTTCAGTTACGGTTCATAAATTTAAAGGATAACCGGTTCCAGTACCGGTTCTTTTCGGTTACGGTTCTGGTCCCTGATATATATATATATAATTATAATAATGAATAATGATATATTTCTAAATATATTAATTTAGTCTTTTTAATTATTTAAGTTATTTCGTGATAATGGAGGGATGGTGAGCTACATTTTTATCATAGATTTTATGCAATTTATTCATTTATATATATTAAGTTCAATAACAAAATATTTAACAACAATGAATCCTAACATATTAATATTATTGATGAGGATTTTTGATTTGAATATTGAAAATAATATTAATGGTTTTTTAATGGTTCGTTTCAATGTAATAAATATATCATTCTAATCAAACCACGTGTGATGTACAATATAATTATGAAATACCAACTTTAACACGAGTCCATGCCCTACATACTTCACAATTTTGGATAGTCAAATTTTTTAATATGTTCATGATACATTTATAGGAAGATATAAAATTATAAAAAAATATTATTACGTAGCACAAAATCATGTTAATAGCTTACTAGTACTCTTTAAATTTTAAAAAGGAAATATCTTATTTTTTTAAAATAAATATTAGATTATGAAGTATAGACGACTTAATGAGATTAATGAGATAATATTGTTTGGAGTTGAACAATCAGTATGGAAATTATAAATGGAAAAAATTAAATATAATACATTTAATTACAAATTAACATCAAACCATCTGCAATATTAACATTGTTGACATTTTAATACTATAAAAATTCGAGGTATAATTCAGGGAAATAAAAAGTATAATTATAAAGTTATAAGTTAGATAAAAAACTTAATATCTTATAGGAGTGTCGTGGGAGAAATAATAATAAAAAACTTACAACTAAAATATTTGAAACTCGAGTTTAGATCTATCTCGAGATTAGATCTAATTGGAATTTTATATTTATAGGTCAAGACGTATTATTATAGGTATTGATTTGAAGTATAGACTAAATTTAAATATTTTTATTTGAAAAAAAAAAACAATCTGCTAAAAAGAAAATAATTTCAATACAAAAGGTTTCTTTAAGATAGAATATTAATATGTTATCCTTCAAAATAATATTACAATATTTCATAGCAGTAAATAGAATTCTAAATATATATATAATATTTTAGAGGTGAAAAAAAAATAGTGGGTATTTGGGAACTTTAATAATCATACGTTTAAAACTGTTACTGGAATGAAAATAATAAACTTATTCTTAGCAGTGCAATAGGAGGGGTTCTACGTATGTATCGCATAATTTATCTATTTCGTCTTTTGTACTCTTAGGAGCAAAACAGAGTGGAAATCAAAACGTGGGCTCGTTTTGGACGAGCTCAACCCAGACGGCGTGCAAGGAGCGTGCGACTTCCGATGACAACGGACGATGAAACGAATAAAAAGCGAAATCGACGACGACCGCCCGGAACATCTGAGGCAGCGGCGCCGCGGCGCTAGAACCACCGCCCGTTCGCCGGTCCCCGCCCGTGTGGGTGTTGCACTGAACGGAATCGAGCGGATCCCTGATGCCGGCAGTGGCGCCAACTGGTCGGCAGAAGGTGCACGGAGGCCGTGGCTCGACCGTCGGGTTGGTCACACCGGACGCGCGGCCGCGGCCACGGTCAGCCGGTGCCCGAGCGCGCGCCGCACACTCGCACACACACACACTCGTCCGTCGTACGTACGGTCGTGCTCGCACACGCACGCACGCGCCGATTGGATAGTCGATATCGCGCGCGCGCGCACACGGACGGGCGTCAGTTCGCGTTTTGCGCTTGCTCCGTGTCGTCCGCAGTCGCCGCCGCTCACAAGCGCACAGCGGTCTCCTACCCAAATAACCACTAGCCTCCGGTTCGATATTATATTATTTATTCGTTATAAACTCGCGCTAGTTCGGAGTGTGTGTGTGCGTGTGTGCGTCCCGTATTATATTCTTAGCCGCGTGTGCCATTGTTATACGACTAGTTCCGCCGGTTTTTTTTTTTTTAACAATCATTTCGTTATTTTTATACGCGTCAATATCCGTTTTACGTAATCCTTTCGTCGCGCGCTGTGCTCGCAGTCGTCTCCGCCGTTCATCTCTGCGTGTGAGAACGCGAACGAGTCTATCCGGTGCGTGTGCTTCGCCGCAGTGCTGCGAAATAAGTCCAAGGAGTTGGTGACGGAGGAGGAGGAGGAGGAGGTGGCGGAGGAGGAGGCGGTGGTGGTCTTGTCCGGAGAACCCGCGGACCACCGTCGGAAACCCGGTCGGTCAGAGGGTCGTCTCGCCGTAATCGCCTGGGACATGCGTCATTACGAGCACAACAGAAGATGGTCTCGATGACCGGAGGCACAACACCGGTGCGGCACCGTTGCGGTTAACGGTGGTCGGGTGGTGCGTGATCGTCGTGGTGCGAATACTTCCCGGCGCATATAATAGCCGCGCGCATAAAGATTTCAGCCCTAGCGAAAGTCGGCCGGAAGATGGGCTGCGCTATGTCGGCGGAGGAACGGGCCGCCCTGGCGCGGAGCAGGCAAATCGAGAGGAACCTCAGGGAGGACGGCCTGCAGGCGGCCAAAGACATAAAACTGCTGTTGTTAGGTGAGCAAACATCATACTCTGCCCTAGCGGCCACGTTCCTTTCGCAGCATGATTCCCCTCACCGACGGAGTTGACGCGGACGTCTTGTCGCCGGCGGCGCGCGTACGTCTTATTATATCTGAATTTTTCTCGTGTTTTGGTTCTTTTTTTTTTTTCGTGCTTCAAGTTACGTTCATTGTGAATGCACTTTTCTTTGGCCGCAAGCATAAAATATCAATAAAGACGATTTAATGACGATAATGTTTTAATAATAATGTACTTCAATCGCATGTTCATCTCGCAGGAACACACATAAATACGTACACGCTCACACATTGTACATTGTGCTTTGCAATAATTCGCGTGCACTAGACTAGACGGCTGGCCGAGAGGCATTTTTTGGCAAGGGATCTAACCCGGTGTGTAAGTGTGTAAGATTATTTCGGTGTTAGAAGCCGGACGTAAATGTGTGTCTGTGTATGTATGTTGCTTTCGAGGTCTCTCCTATGGGTCGTCGTGTCTGGTGCGATAACTTTTTCTGTTTCCCCTTTTTTCCCTGGCAAGTGTCTGAAGGTCCAACGTCTGTTTCACATTTTCTAGCGTATACATACTTTTTATATACATGGTTCTTTCGCGATAATAACATCCTCTCCGGGGGTCGATGAGACAATTTCTACGTTGTCGTTGTCGTCGTTATGTACCTGAAAAAAAAGATGAAGCACGCCGTGGCTACAAGTGCCCCCACTTGATGTCGTTTTTCTTTCTCCCGTCCATCCGTCCGTCTAGTCACACTCGTTGCGAGTATGCTACCCCTCTCGTCAGGGATCGGAGCGCACGGAGTAGTGGTCTATGAGTGCGGTACACAACGACCACTAATAACCTATCGCCTTCTTCCATTTAGAACGTATTATATTAATATACCGATGTGTACATATTTTATACATATATATATATATAATAAAGATAAATCCATAGGTGTGTGTACATATATGTAACATATATATAAATACATAATATATTTTATATTATATACATAAGTTTTGATATAAATATATATATAGGTGAACGGTTTCTATCAGAAGTGGCACTCCCGTGTCTTTCTCCCTCTCTCCCTCCCCCCGACACAAGCCAGAAATCGATTTACCGCCGCTGCCGCCGTGGCCGACCCTTTAGCGCGTGCTGCCAGTAATGGTAACGTAATGTAGTTTATGTATATACACACACATATACACGAGTAACGAGTGTTTATGTACAGTAATAATAAATACTCACACGTACTGTGGATGTATATATGTTAGGTATTAAAGTTTGAGTTCCTTTTAAACCACCCGATTTTTTTTTTTTTTTTTTTTTTTTTAACGGACAATAAATTTCATATCGCTATAATAACAATAGTTTAATCATCGGTATACGTATTTATAATACAATAATTGTTCTCGCAGAGACATGTTTTTTTTATTTTTATTTTTGGAGATAATCATAAACTTACACTTGATTCGACCGATTTCATCATATTTAACAAAGAAAATATGGTCACATTACCTATACGTAATCAGACGAAGTATAATAAAAGTTTTCGATGGGCTATACGATTTTCGATATTTAGGTATTTATATGAAAATAAAATTAGGTCAATATTATATTTGTTGGTTTCGTTTTTATGGTGCAGTCTATAAAACCATAATGGTTATAAAACTTGATCAAATATTTTTTATTTAATTTACGATGTTTGCGTGTGTTTGTGTGAAAATATACACATATTCTACGATACACACTTTCACACATATACATAAAATAAACTGCCAGACAATGTTAAACATTGATTATCGAGTAACAATATAAATTATACGATCTTTTAAAATAATATGTTTCTTCACTGATGGCTACTGTATAATGGTTTAAGATATACTGAATCTAGTAATCGGTCGACTCAGTTTAAAAATTTGAATAGAATTATCAATTAATCTGTTCAAAGATAATCTCGATGATTATGATGGCGTAGAATTTCGTTACAAATTATTATTTCTCTGAATCGGATTTTCTTTAAATATAATTATTGTTATTGCATTATTATAATTTTTTAATTAAACATCATTCAAAACAATAACGTGATGTTCTAGAATTTTTGGATTAAAATGTTATCATTGAAGGTTAAACATTCCACACAGGTCAACAACATTATAGTACTACACACTCATATTATCAATGATAAAATGTATCCTCTTTCGTAACAAGTTTTATAATACGTTAATATGCAAATATGAAATTCGAATTCAATAAAATAATTGATTTTTATTATTATTTCAGGTGCTGGAGAATCAGGGAAAAGTACAATAGTCAAACAGATGAAGTGAGTTACATCTATATTTTCTTCATATTCTTAGGATAAAAATCAATATAAATTTTTAGGATTCTTTCAGTGAATAAACTAGTTTTAATGCATTTTTGTATTTAATATATTGTGGGTTAACTATTATTAGATAATAAGTGTTTGAAATTCATTTGAATTAAAATGTATTCCGGTAATTAATATCTAACCTTATATTACCATAAAATTATTTTAAATTGTTTTTTTTTTATAAATATTATATAATTTTGATATGTATAGAATCATTGATGATCTACTTAAAAAAAAAAAAAATTCAATGTATAAATAGTTTTCTATTAATCACTATATTATTAAAGCATTTATTAAATATATTTTCATGGTTTTCAATACAGTTCGAAACCAATCCAATAAAATATAAATTTTAGTTCGATTAACTAATAGTTCTAGAAGCATACATTTAAACGTACCTATATAATTTCCTTAAAAAATACTAATTTAGAAAATATTCTAAACAAAGGAAACTTTGTATAAATTCTAATAAAAATGTAATTATATAGATACATAATATACCTACCTATGTAATGCGATTATATATTCTTTCACTAGAAAAAAATATGATTGACCCAAGGTGGGTGGTGGATTAATGGAGCTTAAACTTATTTCAACAAATATCGATGTTTAGTTATAACTAATAAATATCGTTCAATAACACACCACAGTAGCTTATTTTTCGTTGCTGAAATGTGTATCATTAAGTATATTGTAACCATTGTAACCTCTATTCTAACAAGGGAGTTTTGCGTAAGCCGCAGATCAGACGACTATAACTTTATACTAAAGTAAAAGGTGTGATTTATTCTAAAATAGATATTACAGAAATAATAATATAAAAGTTAGATCATTATAAATTATTTATCTCCCACATGTGAAAATTATAATTTGTTTTATTTTGATAGGTATGGCATAAATAATATTCAGTGGTGATTTCATGCGATTTTCGAGGGGTTAAAAGTTTAAATTTTTCTTTGTTTTCAAACGTGATTATCTGCAACCAGAGCTATTAATGACATTGAACGGATTTTTTTTTTTATTGTTGCATAAAATTATGAACTACTTATTTTAATGAAGTTGCAGTCAAATTAAATAGGTATAAGTTAATTGTGAATTCCATTATGAATTGAATAATTTTTGTATAAAACTCAATATTTTGCAATTAATTTACTATATAACAATAGTTTTTAATTTGGAAGAAGTATTACTATGATAGTTTATTATTTAGAATTTTTAATTTATTCTAAAATGAACCTACAACAAATGTTGAAAAAAAGAATGTTTGATAAAGTTGTTAAGGCATCCAACTGTTTTTCTATTTATCTATTATATATTAAATAAATATAATTAAATTATGTTACGTAGTGACTAGCTTTTTTAATAATACAAATGCGTCTATTAATCGACCTTTTAATGATATTTTAAAATTTTTAAAAACTAATAATAAAAACAACTATCATAATTTATTTTAATTGATTTTTTTCTTATGGAACAGTAGTTAATTATATTTTTATTTAAATTAAGTTCTTAATCAATACACTTTAGTTGTTTAATGTATTTTGAATTATCATGTCAGGCCTACTATGTTTCGTTTATAATATATAAATAAATAGTTTATTTATTTATATTTATAAACTATTTATTTATACATGTATTAATTTACAAATACTAACCAATTACTAATTTTTTCTTTTATTTTTTATCGTTTCATGGTTTTGAATATGTTAACTCGTAGACAATGAGAACCATTAAAATCAAAATCAGTTGAAAGGGATATGGTCGATAGTTCTAAAATAAAAAGCTTGGAGAATATCTGGGAGAGGTAGTTTTGGAAATATTTATTATATATATATCATAAAATATTCTAAATATATATTTATAGTACCTTAAGGTATGCATAGGTTTGGATTGAATAGGTTTCGGATTAGGTTAGTTTTGCTTTGGATATTTAATTTGGAGATCATTGTTTTTTTTTTTTTTTTAGTTCAGGCCAAATATTTATACAAATATTTAATATATATTTTAAACTTTTTAAACTTATAAAAATGACCTTACATTTATTCGGTTACTGACAAATAGAAAATGTTGTCAATTAAATTGAGTCTTAGAATTCCGCTTAGAATGCATTGTATCAATTATAGATTTCTCAACTTATTTAAGTGTACATTATAAATACATTATAGATTATATCATTATATACATTATAGTATACAGTATAAGTCATCCTATACATATTAAATACAACAATTTTAAGTGAAATATTACAAATAGTTCGATACTAGTAAAAATAACATCACTACTACTAGGTTTGATGAGACCGACCACGCCCCTGTATTAAACTTAAAAGCAACGATGTTAATGTGTACCACAAAACAAGGTTTGATGACTCCTCGGCAGCGGTGGCGGCGCAGGATCGATACTCCTACGCTCTCCCGTCTCACTGGGCACACGCGAACGCCACCACTACCGGCCCATCAATGACCAGTACCGTATTATGAAACGTGGCTTTTCCCGAAAGGATTACGATAGTGTTGTATTTTTAGATTCCGGAAACAGAATTCATTAGAAATATTGCAACGCCATATGTTTTTTTGATGGATTGACATTAAAACCTGAAATGTTAAAAAGTATTGATGTTTTCAATACATATTCTTTGGAATTCAAACGATATATACTTATAATATTAACATTTTAAGAAGTTATTTAAGGAAAATTTCTGTTTCAATACTATGTCTCCTTTTAAATTACTTCTGCTTGCAATTTGAACCATTTAAAAATGTATTTTAGGTTTTGTAATGCTTAATTATATTTTACTTTTAAAGTACTTAGTTATTAAATAGTTGTAATTAATATATTTTAAATCAAAAACTCAGTTTTAATTTTCTCCGTGTTAGTTTTTCTCTATGTATGTTAGTTGTACATTCTGCATTTTTATCTAAAGATGAGGAGAGTTTAAATACATTTCTGGACTTTCATTTTTTCCCTTTATTTTTTTTGTTCTGATTAAATATATCTTATACATAGTAATATATTTATTTTCAAACCAATTTTATTTTAGAACTGAAGCTCAGAATATTTCCGAAATACTATTTTTTTCATATATACGAGTAGTTTTTATATTTTATAGTTACCATCGATTTATTTTTAATAAATTGGAGTCATGTGTTGTGCTATATAAACTTAAAACTTTAACTTTGAATTGTTTATGTATTTCAAGTTATTTTTATTTTAAATATGAATTCTAGTGGATATTTGTACAAAAGTTTCATACTGCAATTTTTTGGTAAGAATTAAGACAAAATTGTTCTCATGACCGTTTTTCGATTCTCTGAATTGGTTTTCTACAAAAGTAAGGAAAATGAATGTTAAAATTTGTCACGTAGTAGCTTATATTTATTATTTTTCTAATTATTTTCATTTGTTTTAGTATAATTTACTTTTAGTCATTATCAAATGTTGATATTAATATAATATGTTATCTGGAAAGTATAGCTTAATCAATTTGTTTCATAAAAATTTTAAAGTTTGATATGTGGCAACATTTTTTTTTCTCGAATACTTACGAATATTTTATTTTTAATTTGTATTGTTATATAGCTGATATTTATTCAAATTTTATATAAGTGACACTACTAATATTTATTTAGAATTATTTTTCCATAAATACTATGTATTAACCAGAGTACCTTCAGTATATATTTTTAATAAAGTATATGAACGTTCCATGTTAAGCATTTTCACTTAAAACTTTATAAATGGATAACATATCGTAAGCAAAATTCTATCAATTTGTTAGTTACTCGCATACCGATTTATTGTCAATCATTCACTGTCTCTTTATAAACTTTAACATTTATTGAATATTTTACTTGAAGAACTTCAATTTCTATATAATTCTCTGAACTTAGAATTCTAAATAGTCTTAGATATTTTTTCCAATTTCAAAATCTATTCATGTTGGGCAGTCATTGGGAGTTTACCATTACATAATTATTAAGGAAATATGAATGATATTTTATCATTTTTATATTTTATGAACTTAAATACAAACATAAACAACACTTATTTTTTAATTAATAATTTAAGTGTATTTAAAGCCAATTTTTAAAAGTACTGTAATTAGTGTTTATTCCAGGCCTTCTATACCGGGGAAATATATTAAATTATTGGCAATAGGAGTATATGATATACGGTAGGCCATAAGAATAAACAATTAATAATTAAATACATTTTTATGGGTAGTTTTACCCCACCTCCTCAAATCACCCTCGTGAATTAAACACTGATAGCAATAAATAGGGCTGAGATTTAAATGCTCTAAAAAGTAGCAAAAAAAGCTCTAAAAAAATTGCAAAAATGCTTTAAAAATCGTAAAAAAAAGGAACTATCAAAATGTGTTAAAAAAGGTATTTATTATAGTTAAAAAGCGATATTATAAAAATCATGTTACCAAACATATTTAATTTTATTTATTTAACATAATAATAATAAATAGGTTTTAATTTATTTCATAATTCGCTGTTATGATCGTCGTTGGACTCTTGTAATTAAAAAAAATCTTTCGATTATTTAAATTTTGTTATACATTCGATAAAACAGGTATATGGGGGCTGATATGCTCGTATTTGTTAGTTTACCAATTTAGTAGATTACAAACATAACATGCAAGTTTTGAGTGAACGTCAAAACGAGTGATCGAATATCCTAATTTATAGATAAAATGCTTTGAAAATTTGAAAAATGCCTTAAAAACAACAAAGCATACCCTAAGAATGCCTTTTAAGTTAAATTTGTTAAAAAAAAAAACAAAAAAATGCAAAATAAAATCTAATTAAATTAAACAGTATTAATTGAAACGTATTTTCACTCACGGATCTATGTGTTGAGTACATCAGAAAAAAAAATACTTTTGCATTAAAATTCCAGCCTTAGTAATAACTAATTAATATTTATTTTTCACATATTAGTTCTTATAGTTTTTGAAAATTTCAAGATTTAAAGTAAAATAAAAAAAATTAAGCAACATTTTCGTGTAGTATCTTCTATGGCGTTTTTACAGGCCATTTAGTCCCATTGCCGCATCAACCACTTGCTTCCACTGATCTCATTATTTAGCCAGTTCAACTCCGTTCTCAATTCTAAGCTCTTCTAAGTCCTTGTTCACTCTATTCTTCTATCTTTGTCTGAGACGTCCTCTTGGTCTTTTTGTGTTTGGTTTTCATTCTGTAACTTGTCCAATTATTTTCTCTGATTCCCAAACGTGGCCAGCCCATCTCAATCTACTACTTTTTAACACTCCATTGATGGTTGCTTCTTCATATGGGTTTTTAATCTTTTGGTTTTTCCTCATCTCATATTCATCTTCGTTGTTCTTTTTGGGTCCATCTTTTTAATATCTTCCGTTCAAAGATCGCAAATTTGAGTTCGTCTGATTTTGTTGTAGCCCAAGTACTATATGCATACAAGACTACTGGTCTCACTAGGACTTTGTACAGTATTATTTTTGATTTCCATGATAAAATCTTTAATTTAAAAAGAGGTACCAATCCAAAATAACATCTGTTTGCCGCTGCTAATCGTATATTTATTTCGTTATGGCTATTAGCTTCCTTGTTAATGTCCACCCCTAATTTTTTGAAATTATCCACTCTTTCAAATTTGTAGTCGTCAATATCCAAATGTCCTGATCTGCTGTTATTTCTAGTTATGACCATGTATTTTTCTTATCCTCGTTTATTGTTAACCCTATTTTTTTTCCATTTTCCAGTAGATTTTTTGTAGTATTCTTTAGATTCTCTTCATCTTCTGCCATTATGACTATGTCGTCTACATATGCGGCTACTACTAATTACTTTTCAACTCCGATTTCAACTTCATTTGTTGTGGCCAAGGTATCTCTGATGACTGACTCCAACGCTATATTGAATAACGCAGGGGATAAGGCATCTCCTTGCCTTAACCCAGTCACTACATCGAAGTCTTCCGAAATTATGTTTCTAAACTTCACTTTGCACTTTGATCCCTGTACATATGCCCGTATTACTCTCATAAGCTTTTCAGGTATACCCAAATCGCACATTACATTCCATAGTTCGTTTCTATTAATTGAATCATACGCAGTTTTAAAATCTATAAAGAGGAGGTATATATCCTTGTCAAATTCGTGACTTTTCTCAGTAATTTGTTTAATGATATGTATTTAATCCAAGGAAGATTTTCCTATCATAAATCTTGTCTGGTAATCTCCAATTATTTCGTGTAAATAAGGTTTTATTCTATTGAATAGAATATAAGACAATATTTTGTATGAAGAATTCGATAATGAGATCCCCTTGTAATTTTTACAATACATGAGATCTCCCTTTTTAAAAATAGGGCATAGCACAGATGTACGCCATGAACTTGATATTTCTTCACTTTTCACAAATTATATTTATTTATCAGATTATGTAGCTGTTTTATTAATTTTGGTCCTTCTTTCTTAAGACACTCAGACACTATTTCATTCTCTCCCACCACTATTTCATTTTTGAGCATTTCCACGGCAATATCTACTGCTCTTGTTGGCGTTTCTAAGTTTTGTTTTACTGAGGCACGTTTTTTGATGGTTGTGTTTCTATTGGGTTGATTTAATAGAGTCTTAAATATTTTTTTAAACTCATCTGCTATTTTTTGCGTTCTCGGTTAATAAAGTTCCATCTTCTCCTATAATCATTGTTGTTCTGCGTTTGAAACCAAGTTTAACTTCGTTTGCTCTTCCAAAGAAGGTTCGTGTGTTATTTTTTCTACTGTTTTCTCGTGTAGTATCAACTTTGTTAAAACATTAAAAAAAAAATATCTTAAAATAATGTTTGTTTCTTTTTTAAAATACGTCTTTATTAATTTTATACAGTAAATCAAAATTTCTATCAAAGATATATTAATTTAAAATATCTACTTTGACCTATAAGTCGATGGTATACTTATGATATGATAAAATTTTACTTTTAATTGTATTGTAAAAATTTTTTTTTCTTTTTTTATTAAAATCACATATATTTTTCAGAATTATACACGAGAGCGGTTTTACGTCAGAAGACTTTAAACAATATAGGCCCGTGGTGTTCAGCAATACAGTTCAATCACTGGTTGCTATATTGAGAGCAATGCCAAATCTTGGAATTGGATTCGGCACCAACGAACGGGAGGTAAGAAAAGCAAGTATTTTCTTTTCATAATTTATTTGTATTATATAAAAAATGATTGAATCTTTCAACTAATTATGTTATCGGTAATTTTTCTCTAAGCCAAATAAAACTCATCATATGATTAATAATGGTTAAGTTATAACGACTACTGATGCTAGTTTGTTATTATTATAAGCTATCACTAACCCATATTATAATTCAACGTATCATAAACACACATTTCATAAGTCAATTAAATGATATAAAAAATTTAAAAAATTTCATTGAATCACACAGTTCACTCAAAAATATACTAATTATAACGCAATGGTCTTCTTCATATATAATCACTTGATGGTTCAATTATTATTCAGCCAGTATTATATTTTGTAGCTTTCTTAATCCCACCATTATTTTTACTAGTAAAAATATGTTTTTAGAATTCTGTGTAATTTCTACAGGATGAACAAAATTAAAGTTAATTTCATTATAAATAAAAATCTTATACCTATCATATGTAATCTTTCGTAGGTAATTCAAAACATTTTAATTTACTATAGGTTACATTTTCCAAAATATATACGTTCATAAGAAAAATGTCTTTTGTTAATTTAGTATACTAGTAGGATTAATAAAATAATATAATATTACTACCACTACTAACCACTACTAACCACTAATAACCATTAAGTTAAATTATGTTAATGATAATAATTTAAGCTTTGGTTATAACACGCGATCATAATGTAGAAACGCACGCAAATCGTAGTAAAAAAGAGTTATGTTTAAAATTTAATTTATTACTGTTGGTATTATTAAGATAGCTATAGATATTATGTTGGCGCCACAATATCTACATTTGTCAACTATTGTTCACTGACATTTTTTAAAACTCATTTTGTTTAATACAATAAAATCATTGGCCGATTTTACAAAAAAAAAAAAACTTATCATTCATTATCAAATATAGTATTTATATTAGTATGGTATTAATATAATATTTCTAAAAAAACTTTCTTTACATACTGTAATCATGTATCCAGTAAAAAAAAAATAAAAAAATAACTGTGCTTTGGGTATGATAAAATTATCTAAAACTCGTTGGAATATTTTTCTACGTACAATTTTGGTAACGCGTTGAGTGTTTAAATTAAATTTTATTTTTTTACATTACTAAATAATTTAAAATTAGTGACTTATTGATTATATCTGGTTTGTAAACCTTGACCAACTATTACAATAATAAATACGTTGTATCGGCTAAAATAAAATTCGTAGTTTAGTCAAAGTTTTCCCACAGGGAAATTAGTGCAGTATCGATATGATTACAACGTTATATATATATATATATTATATATATATATATATAAATGCATGCATTTACCCACGTAATACAATGAATTAATTTGACCTACGATGGACGACAGTCTATAGTTACTGACGATGGAAATCTCGGAAATTAATTGAAATGGGTGTATAACGCGCGCATATGCTGTGGGGGAAGCATAGGGTCCCGACAACATTGTCCTAATTTCGGTTATCATAATTCGCACGCAATCGGAAAGCATATGTATTGTTTCTGTAGTTATTCTGAAATATACGGGCTAAAACTTCTGAATAACAAAAATATATATTGTTGAAGGTGAATTAATCGAATTAATTAAATGAATTAAATTAAATTAATTGAAAATTAAAAATATTATACATTCATTTTTCTGAAAACTTTTGAATTGCTCATATTTAAAATCGATTTAAAATTTACATTAGTTACCATAATTCGAGTGATACATTTTAGTGGTTAGTACTTTCTGTAATTGGATTCACAACCCAAATCTTCTATGCGATCTTTAGAGAATACTTTTTTGTTCAATACTACATTAAAACTTTTGAGGATTGAAATAAAGCATAACATATGTTCAGATAATGCTTCATTTTCCAAATTCATCCATATTTTATAAATTATTTATTAATTAAATACATAAAAAAGTATAAAATATACCTAACCCAATATGCGTAAGATAGACAGAAAAATATTCTACCATCATATTTAATTTTATATCTATTAAATAGTTAACTTATATTGATGCAATACGAAAATAAATAAATTAAACATAACAAATTTTGCTATGTATGATTATTTTCAAATATTATATACATTCTCAGAAATTGCATGATATACGTGAAATAAAAAAAAAAAATATTGTTTTACATTAAAAAAATTGTCTCTAGCTTATTTTTATTTTATGAATACACCAAAGTTATAACATGGTACCACGTTTGTTCAGTCTAGTTGCGATAAGAAATTTGCATAGTTTGTGAATAACAATAAAAATATCATGAATACGATACTGCATGAGTGACGTCATAACCGGTGGTATAAGGGCTTTAACCACATTTATGACGTGTTTATATATGATTAGAAAGAAAATATTTTAATTATTTTTAAGTGCATTCAAACAATAAAATTGACAATAATTTCAATTTTAACTTAAAATATTATTAGAAAATGTAATCATATTAATTATTATATTTTTTTGTGTAACCTAAGTAGAATTTCAAGTGAATACTTTATGATGTTTGATGAATGTTATAAATATTATATCCATAAATCCAGTCATGAGATTTTTAAGTTAAACTATATATTTAATAACAATTTAAATACGAATTCAAGTATTCAAAGTAATATGAACCAAAAATTTACTTTTGGTTTTCATACATTTATAAAAAAAAAAAAAAAAAACTATAATCTTAAAAAATCATATTAGTTATATTATTGTAGTTATTATAAAATCAATGATGAATTTTTGAAATCTTATAGTAATTTATTGGTTTAAAACATAATATTTTCCTGTGATCAATCGTTCTACTAAGATAAAAATGGACCAAATATTTCATTAAGTTTCTAATTATAATATAAATTAAAGTATAGTAAAGTATTGAAGAATTAGGAGGGTTTTTAAGATTTTTTATAAATTTATTCAATGTGAAGGTATATAGAAAACATAGTCAAATTTCATCGAGACAGTATTTTGATAAAATAAGATTTGTATTCTATTAATTTGAAATTTTATGCAAAATATTGAATATTAAAAAATCGTCCAATCGATTTTTTTTTCTTAACCGTTTGAATTTCCAATCGTATTTTTGTCTACCTAATAAAAATATATACCTAACTTTTTTTATTTTAATCTAATCTTTAAGCTTAACAATGAAGTTATATGATATTTTAACCGTATAATTCAAGAATAAATTAAGTAATTATGTGTCCAAGTTTTATTACGTGAGTTTTTATTTTGAAAAAAATAATAAGTAATAATATTAAAATATCGATCTATAATTTTATATTTAGTGACTTTAAGCTTTATTACAATCCTGTAAATATCAAATTGAAATTAAATTTCGTTATTTAAATTCTCCGGCTTGTTTTGGAGAGGAATTTTTTCAGTATCCCCTTTTAGTGTGCCACATTAATGATGAAATACCTACTACTAAAACCTATTTATATATATATAACCAATTTTGAATAGTCATTACTAATTTACAGTTTATTTATAAAAACTCGAGATGATATAGAATAAACATTTAGTCATTCGTGTACGATAGCGTGCACAGGAATTCGGTACGGGGGGGGGGATATTTCATATATTGGAACAACAAAAATGTAATATTTCTTATAAGCAACGTTATTTTCAAAAGGTATGACAAATTATGATAATGAACGTCATAAGTTAAAAAAAAAAAAAAAAAGGCCCATGGGGTGACCCAATATCACCCCTACTCACAACCCTACTCGTATAATACATATACTAAAATATGATTACAGTTTTTAATACAATCTATTATTTCGTTGGTTGTGTGTTCATTTAAAATTATAGAGATGTAATATAAACCAATTAAATTGAGTTATAATTTATCGATTATCAAATGTGTATTAAAACCTCATACCAAAATGCTCACTTATAATTTAAAATTATTTAATAGAATTAAATTGAACTTTGTATCTATCCTTATTAATTGAACTGGTTGATCACCCCTTCGGTACTTTTATTAAGTTGTTAGTCTATATCCATAAACATTTACATGATTTAAGTAGCCTTCAATTAATGATTTTTTTTTTTTAATAGTTTTACTGACCAAAAGTTACCTACCACTTGAAAGATTTTTACTTAAATATAAATATGTACATTTAAAATGTTTCATCACTAAATATAGGCTTAGCAGAAAATAACTTCTACAGTATTAGTTCAAAATGTTATTGATTTTTAATTTTGTTTATTTTTTAACACCTATTAATTTTTATATAATTAAATTAGTAAATAATAAATTAAAAATTAATGATTAGAATGCTCAATAAATTATCCACGTTCATATTCTCATAAAATTTATGACATAGTAGGTATTAAAATGGTGAGTATTATCAGCTTGACAGCAGACAACAGTTTTCAGTGTGTGTAAAATCTCATTAATCGTACAACACTAATTACTGCTGATTACCTATTTATTGGACACAACAATTCAAGTATAATTAAACGTATACACGTAAAATAGAAAATATATTTAGGAATGAACTATCTATTGAATACTTAACTACTTAAAATATAATGATTTATTTATATTTAGTATTTTGAACATTTTTTCAAGTATAATACAAGAAAAAAAAAATCTCCCACGTTATATATAAGGTTTCAAATTATACAAATGTATTTATATTAAAACTTAATCAAAGTAAAGAAACCATATGACACTTCATAAACATGGTTATATTATGTTTTGGTTTATTACAAGAATATTATAATATCTTGTAGATGGTAATGCATAAAAAAATTAAACATAATTTAATAACTTTGTTGTTGAATACGTAGTATGTATGCACTATATGACTGTGAAATTTCACTAAAAAGTGCCAATTTATCATGCTATGAGTAATAAATTATAAGTTAAAAGTCTTTTTTTCCAGTAAGTTCTTAGTTTCATAGTTTTAGTGGTAGGATATTTAAAATTAGTTATGATTGTATGAATATAATACTAACGCCCAACAATATCTTCAAGGTATAAAGGTCGTCTGTGTTTTTATAGAAAATAAGGTTAAGTATGTAGATAAATAAATTAAAAATATTAATTATATGATTTAAATCATTTAATAATTTATTCGATTTATATAAATAAACATTTGTATGTATTCATCATGTAACATAATTACTTTGTATTTAATAAATTTCAATTTTTATCCTATATATTTTATTATTTATTTTCTTATTCTTGATTCATATCTATAAATAATACTAAAAATGTTGTTTTATTTTGTGTATAAAACTAAAACAATTTATTAAAAATATTACTGCAATAGGTATTTAAAATAAAAATTGTAATACATAATTAATAACGGGAGAAATTATGAAATAGTACGAAAAATAGAAACTAAAAAAAAATCAATAATAACAAAAGTATAATAAATTTAATAATTTATTAATTTATTATTAATAATACTATACATATTATTTATGAGTATAGTACAAATAAAATCGATTTAATTGATTCAATAATTCTTTTTGATTATAAGAAGTCAATATATCTGATACGTTAAGATAGAAAAAACAAAATGTTAGTATTGTATTATATTATTAAGTATTGAGCTATAAAAATTAAAAAAAACACATAGACAGTAAGCAGTTTTACTTCAAATAATAATAAACAATACTATTTTAAAAATACAAATTTATAAATAAAGGAGTTGAATTATTTTAAAACATCATATACTATTTTGGGAAGATAATCAAATTGCAATATTATTATATATTAAAATTAAAAATTTGTTGTATTATGTCTTATAATTTTAGAAATTATATTTTTAAATTTACAGACAAAGTAGATTAACGTATGGCTATTTATTCATTTTATATTAAACAAATAATTTATTAAAATATTATTAATTTACTTTATGTTTCATATGAAACAGAATCTTATGTTTTTAATACTTAGATAGCTCATTCTTTATTTATAAATTTGATTATTTTGTCGATATAAGTATATTGAAATAAATCGACAGTTTACATTTTTCTTTATATGAATTGAAGGTAATAATAATAACTAGTAGTAGTACAATTATAATTAAACTATAAATAATACCGTTTTTCTATATTTTAACTTGTATTTAATAAATATATAACGGGCTTAACATTAAATTTACTATTATATATACAGAGGAGACTAAAATTGAATATTTGTAAGATATTTCTTACAAATTTCTTACGTGAATCAATATTTGACATCAATGTTGGGCTTGTCGTGCGTTTTTCACGTTCAAGTCGCCAGGATCATAAGATGTGGTGTGACATATCGACTTTTATGTGAACACTGCAAGATAAATAAAGGTGAAATTTATTTGTTGTTATTTCAAATATCTGATTGACTAACATGATTTTCATTGAATTTCAAATAAATTTCATTTAATTATGATTATTTTACAATAAAAACCGTGTTAATTAATCAGTTATATGAAATAATAACAAATATATTTCACATTTGTTTATCTTGTAGAGTTCACACCAAAATCGATTTGTCACATCAAGTCTTATGATCCTGGCGACTCGAGTGTGAAAAAACGCGTGACAAGCCCAACATCAATATTACATATTGATTCATCTAAGAAATTCGCAAAAAACATCTTACAAAGATTCATTTTAAGTCTCCTCTGTATATGTAATGGTGTTTTCACTGAAAAAATATCACTGTTTTTACTATTTATCAGCTTAAAATTTTGAATAATTGATAACAAAATATAAAATATAATGTTCAATATGATCTGTGTGTGTGGATATGTAGTTGAATGTATATAACAAACGGTATCAAATTAAGTTTCAGTTAGTTTTATAGAACCTAGTTATCAAATAAATGTATTAATTAATTTAGTAACATCCAATTTTTATCATTTACCTATGATTTTGTTTATGTTATTTATATTCATTTAAAGGGTGTACAATTATTTAATTAAATCTAATATCAATTGTAATTAAATAAACCATTCATTCCTTTATAAGCCAATTTAAATGTCAGAGTATTTTTTAAAGTTGATATTAGTTTCCGCTAAATTCGAATTCCTTTAGTATTTGTATTAAGATAACATATTTATACTCTTCTAATATTTATTTACTAATACGTTTCATAGATATTAATTGTTTTATCTTCTTTATTTCAACAGACTGACGCGAAAATGGTATTGGATGTAATACAAAGGATGGAAGATACTGAACCATTCTCAGAAGAATTGTTGACTGCTATGAAGAGACTGTGGGCCGATCCTGGTGTGCAAATGTGCTTTTCTCGATCAAATGAATATCAGCTCAACGATTCTGCTAAATAGTAATTTCATATTTTTTAAAAAATTTAAACATTTTTTTGTTATTCAAATATTATATAGGCTTAATAGTGAGATAAAATGTAATTCTGGTTAATCCAATTGTAAAATATGACAGCCACATAGAGAATAAATAGTTCAGTAACGTTTCAAAACATACTATCTGCTTTTGCGGTTGCACATTATGGATGTACGAACACGGAAATTTTTTTTCCGATAGCATAAACATTTTTTTTTTTTTAAATATATAAACTAATAATTAATAATTTTTTGGTGAACTATTTTATTTTTTAGAACATATTAAATATATCCATTTTTATTTGATTTTCTGTACTGGAAAATATTTATAATTCGGTTAAAAAATGAATCTCGTGTTTATTTTACTTTTGATTTGTTTTTCTTTGGGCACAGTCTTCATAAATTAAAAATAATTTTTATATTAAATACGTATATAAATATAATACATCTTTTTTAATATGTTTAGTCAAATTATAACAATATAATTGTATGATAACGTCACCGATCTGACAAAATAACTTGATTAATAATCATTCATTCTATATGGTTGAGTGTATTGCATTTATAAATGAAAACTAAACTAGAAATAATTAGTGAGAATACATAGTATCGGTATCTAGTGTGATGTTAAAAAAAGTTCCTTCGTGTATTATTCAAAATGGTGTTTACTTATGAACTTAGTATAATGTAGCATTTTTTCTTTTAATCTTTACGTATTAGTACATAGTAATAGTCCAATGATAAATCCTCTATTTAATTATAATTATTATATAGATTCTGTTATAAGTGATTCATTCATAGATTCTTAATTTTCAGACACGATAAAAACTAATGGACCTACATAGTAATTTCGTCTTTTTTCTATTTCTTTATAAAGCTAAGGAGGATTCTGATTTTATTTATTTACTTTTAAAATACGTTAACGTGATTCTTTCGAGGGGCTATAACAGCTGCCGTTCTGTTTGAGCTCAATATTGGATAGGGATGTACGGTTAGTTGCCGGTCGGGCGTGGTCCTTGATGACGTCACTGGATCGATACCACCACTGCCGCCGCCGCGTACGACTGCCGCCATGGTCGTGTCTGGGAAAACGTACTAGGTACACTAAAAAAATGGAAAATATCCAATATTATCGTACTTACCTGTTTAAGATAACATATATTTTTACATTATTTTCAAAATACACGTGCAAATTTCATATTATTTTCAACTCTGTATTATTTTTACCTAGGAAAAAAAAATTAAAAAAATCTTAAACAACTCATATAACTTAAACTAAAAGTACTCATAACTAATTAATAATAATTAGTTATAGAAAATATTATATATAGGTTAAAAACTTAAGTAATTGCAAACGTAATTATGTCATAGTTTATTTTGAATATGATTGTTCATTTTACCTTTGGTAATTTTAATAATTCTATAAAGATTTATAAATTATATTTTAAAACAATTTTAATTTGTTTGACATATGGAATATAAGTCATACTTAGAGGTTAACTTAATCCAAACAAGTAATTCATTATAATTAATACTACTCTTTTGAGTAATATCGAATATTTAGATTTAGGAATTATTTTATATAGAATTCATTATATAAAAATATGGATTTTATATGAAATATTTATATTGTATTGATTTCAGATATATCTAGTTTTATATTGAGTTTTAATTTATTGAAGAAATGGAACAAAACTATTTTTTCTATGTACACTGTTTACAATTTAGTTGATTTCTTATAATTCATGTTTATAAGATTTTAATGTTAATCATACTAATTTTTGTTTAGTTTTTTGGACGATCTGGATAGGTTAGGGTCTAAAGATTACCAGCCCACCGAACAGGATATATTGCGTACCAGAGTTAAAACCACTGGTATTGTCGAAGTACATTTTTCATTTAAAAATCTAAATTTCAAGTAAGTCACTTTTAATAATAATTGGTATTTATAATATTATATTTTTTTAATCGCTTTCTATAGATTGTTTGACGTGGGTGGTCAGCGATCGGAAAGGAAAAAATGGATTCATTGCTTCGAAGACGTAACAGCGATCATATTTTGTGTAGCCATGTCTGAATATGATCAAGTGTTACACGAAGACGAAACAACGGTAAATATCATTGAAATTATAAATGCTTTACTTTTATTAATAAAGTTTCTAGTCTGATGAAAATTTAGAAACACTAGTATACATATATATATAAACAGATACACATAAAGTAGATCATTAATAAATTGTCACTTTTAATAGTCATTGTACGATAGCCACTATAGCACTAATTGAACTCTGGCCTCTAAATTTGTCGTAGTCCACTAAAATACACTTCAGGCCAATTAAAACGGTTATAGGGATGACTACTAAAATCCCCAACTGCTATATTAAGTTATACTTTAAATATTATATTTTTTCCGTCTCTACTTACTCAATTTAACATTTTTGCAATTATTTGTTTACGAAATTTATTTACATTAATTATATTTTAGAATATAATGAACAACATGATTACTTACAAAAAGTATACAGTAAAAAAATTATAGTTTTGATAGGGATACTTTATTGATAATTGTAGATAAATATGATAAAAAATTTAGGTATATTTAATTTGATTTTACTCTACAAACCAAGACAATAGCAATACGATTATTGATTAGAAATACTCATAATATACAAAATACTAATATAATAATATTTAATGATATGAAATTTGTACCTTACATAGACTTTTCTTTTTACTACTTAAAAACAAACTTGTTGAGTTTCTTGCTATACTATACACGAGTCGAGTTAAATTTAATACACCATTTATATATTTGATAGAACAAGACAAGAGATTTATTGAGTTTCTAAGAATGATTTACGATCGCAAAATGTTTGTAAAATTTAAAAAAATAACTAAGGGCATTTGGCGTCCTAAATATTTACAGTCAATCAGAATATCAGATTAAATATACATTTGTTCAACTTATCAGGAATTTTAAATAAGATTGATTCCAGTTCTTTTGATTTTATAAAAACTTGGATGATTTGTTTTTTATCTTGTGCCGTTACGACAAATCGTTTTTGAGCATTTTTCATTTATCATTTCATATTTTATGAGTTTTTATAACTATTGGTATAATTATTATATATATATATATATATATATATATATGTTAGTTTTTATTACAATATTTAAAAATAATCATAATTGTTTTATTAAAACATAGTATTTTAATCAAAATTTTTAATACTATTTTAAACAATTTATTTGTATCTACATCAATATTATTTAAAACGTTTAAGACTTATGTTTAAAACATGTTTTTTATTTAAGTGTATTTAACTAATTTTTAAATAATTAATAATTAAAGTTAAAACTATGAACTATGTATTATACATATTGGAACTTAGGAATTAGGATATAGTAAATACTAAAATCAATAATATTAATCTATTTTAAAAATGATAAGTTACAAGTAGGGGCAGAAATAGGAAGAGGGAGATGGGGATTAATTCCTGGGCGTAACGTTTTAGAGGTTATAATTTTTGTAGTATCTAATCTATATACATAATTTTTTATCATGATAATTTGTTTATAACTCAATAAGTATGATTGTATGTTAATTATTATAAAATAATTGTATGGAAGGTTAATTTATTTTTGATTTATGATAGGACGTATTTTTTTCCCCGGGCGTAAAAAATCCTAGTTCCACCACTATTTACGAGTTATAACTAAGTAATAAAAATATACATAACATATAAGATAAGAGTAACTAACTGTTAGTAGTTATGCAGCAATCTCAATAACTGATGAATTCAGTGGTGTATTGGTAAATATATTTATGTATACGCACTAATATAATATGTATATTAATCCTAAAAAAATGTTATCATTTCGCTCGACAAATTTTTTTCTTTTTAACTCGAATAAATTTAATTAACCTCTTACATGTTTATAACTTCTAATAAGACTATAAAATACAACACCACAAGATATACATTTGCCGCGCATTATAAATTGCTTGGTGCTGATTTATGAACCATAAGCTGGAAGTCCATACTCTATATTATATTTAGGTAATAACATTTATTTTTCAAAATATTATTTACTAAATTAAACTTAAAATACATTAAACTGTAATTAAACTGTAAACTGTACCCTATAATCTTCAAAATATAAATATTTCATTCAAACTTCATAGTTCATAACAATTTTTTTCAATGAACTATTAAATTAGTTTATTTGGTTTACGAGTTATTTTAGGAGCGCATACCCTTAAAATAATATTTTACATTAGTTGTACGTTAAAAATTTGAAATCTGCCGACGGGCATACGGCATACACCCGCGTATAAGTATCAATACACTCCTGGATAAAACTAATAGTCGAAGACAATAACTTTTGACCCTGTAGCCTCGACGTGGTGTAGGTGTATCACAAGGTGTATTGATACACTTAGGTACACTGTATTACCACAATTTAGATTATTTGTTTAATCTGATCTATGGTATTGACATAGAATAGATAGAATAATAGATAATGGAAACAGTACAATCACCAGCCGTACGTTGTTCAATATTATTAATATGGACTTTATCGGGCGTCGCTAGTGTGCATATGCTTCGTGAGATACTGCCTATAAACATAGATCGGGGATTACTTGTTTTTAAACATTTTTAAAATAGTTTAAAGTAATTAAATAAAAACATGACATTTTAAAAACTATTTTAAATAAAAAAAAAACTGGTTTTTTTTAAAAAATATCATGAAACATGAGAATTCTGAAAATAATACCTAACCCAATAAGTCAATATATAAATGATTTATATTATTTATAACTAATTACCTTCAACTGACAGCTGTATATAAGAGATGTTACCTCCTACACCAGAGTCCATATACACGCACACAGTTACTGTATATGCACATGAAGATCTTATCTCCAACACTGGCGCTGGTTGTCGTCAAGGCAACACCGCTCCCGATCGATACCACCTCTCGTTGATATCTACATCGTCCCTACACAAATGGTCAACCCTTGAACAATGTATATAAATTATATATATAACCATGTTATCTAGCGTGTTGTTAGTTGCGTATCTAAAATTATTTCGTTTGTATGAAATGCATTGTACGTAGACAATTATAGTAAACCATTGTTTTAAATCTATTTCTTTTTTTAAAAAAAATACTATATACTTATATAAATTCATTTTTTTTTCGTGATTTTACATGATAACATTTATTGTACATGTATTGATAATGAATATTTTAGGGTTCATAATAGTTTCAACTTAAAATATTTGATTAATGCGTAAATAGTTTACTCTTGTCTCTTTGTATTACAAAGTTGAGGGAAGTAAATAAAATTTTAACTATTAAAATTCGATTTATTCAAATTATAAATGTACACAGGATCATATCGTATCTGTCTTCGCTAGCAATATCAAGCATTTAAAAAAAAAAATGATATTTAAAATTAGTATTAAATTTAAATGTAGGGTTGTTTGTTATTTTTATATCCATTTGCGAAAAAGTATAAATTTTATTTAAATTTCATGAAGTCATTACTATATTACTTGATGAAAATGGTTAATTTTATAGGTAATAATTTTATTGAGAAAAAAAGGATCCATAGAATTTTTAATAATGTGAAAATAAAATTTAAAAAAAAAAAGTCTTCAGTTAAGCACTTACTCCAAAATCTATTAAAAATATAACTTATGTAGTCCAATAGAAACGTTTGTCAAAATTGTTCGAACAAAATAAATTTAGATAAATGTTATTGACTCATAAATGCACGGGTTTTATTTTAGAATCCAAATCCATAGAGTAATATACGAAAAACCTTGTTTTAAATCTAAAAGTAGTTTTACTTAATTTCCATATTAATAACTCTTAAATACTTATTAGATAAATATGTCATTAAAGATAATACATAAAATCAGTCAGTTAAAGATTAAATAAATCATAAATATTCTTGAAAAAAAAAATAGATTTGATAAATCGAAGTCTTTTAATTCTTAAATAAGTAATTTTTTTTACATATTTTAAGGCTAAAAAAAATGTAATATGTATACAACTACTTATCTATTGATAATTCTTGAGCACTCTTTTTAGTTGTATTAATATCACACGATATATTAATTTGTAATTTAAAATCACATATCAGATTACTCAAATAAGTATTTGACATTTAAAAGGTACAACCGAAAGCAAGAACCTTAAGTAATGTCTAAAGGGAAAAATGTAAAAAAAATTTTCATTTCCGTTTTATTGTTTTTTCATGAAAAATTATTAATCGCTTATAATAATTTTACAAAAGTTTGGACCATGGCTGGCTAGTTATAAAATCTACATTCTACATAAAGTTTCTTAATTTATAATATTTTTTAAAGCTATAAAAAACATATAAAACTAGTAAGTACTTTATTTACTAAATAAATGTGCCAATTTAATTTACTTATAATATTTGTTCATAATATAAGTGTAAATACTGACCTATAAACACATGAACTAAATAAAATAGTAGTTTAAAACGTCGTTTAACTGTCAAAAATGACGTTCTAGCTGCTTGCAAAATCACCATTAAAATTAATATTATTACTACTGTTGGAGCTTCTCCAACTATTATATTACAAAAGAGTTCTTAATAAATTAAATAATGTTATAATGGATTTATATATGTTTATATATATAATCAAGTATATCAAGTTGGTATATTAAGCATAAAAAAAAAATTAATAATGCGTGTAAATAGGTATCTTTTTTAACATTGTTGTAACACGCCCTCTCATTCTAATACTCAATTATTTAAAAAAATTAAAATAAAATAAGATTTCTATAATTTGATAGTTGATAATTCTTATCAAATCTTAACTAAACATATATTTAAATATTGTTTTATTGATTTTTATTTTTAATTTAATTAATTTATAAATTTATTATTTTAATTATATAATATTTATACATTAGTATACGTTAAGTATATATTTAATTAAATCAAAGTGTGGAATTTAAAATATATTTGGTATGTTTATAAATTGATTCTGATTGAAATAAAATGCTATACATCGTATAAGTTTAGTTGTTAATTTTCAACTAACATTACATACATATATATACCATTGTACTTATTATTTACCCTTATATACTACGTACTTATATGATATAAAATATTGCAATAAATTATTAATAACAATTATAGGCAACAGTCCAATATATTTAATAATATGAAATTGCTTGTTTAGAATCGTATGCAAGAGAGCTTGAAGTTATTTGATTCTATCTGTAACAATAAATGGTTCACTGACACGTCCATAATATTATTCTTGAACAAAAAGGACTTGTTTGAAGAGAAAATCAAGAAATCACCGCTCACCATATGTTTCCCGGAATACGCAGGTATGTTAAACTATATTTTCATTTAAATTTAACAAATATAAATATTCGGTTTAATATAATATAATTTAAAATTACTCGTTTATAGCTTTATCAGTGTTATATACAATTATTAACATTGTGTACTTATCAACAAATACATTCATGTCGAATACATCGTACGAATGCGTTTTGAACTAAATATAATAATTTGTGTTTTTTTTTTTTTTTTTATCACTAAATGTACAAGTTGGCTATGTGCATATATAATGATATTCGTTTTGTATTATTGCAATAATTTTTCTGTTGAAATTATTATCGAATACACGTTATATAACCGTTTTCCTTCTTCCTGCAGGAGCTCAGGAATATGGAGAAGCCGCTGCTTATATCCAGGCACAGTTCGAGGCCAAAAACAAATCGACTACTAAAGAGATCTACTGTCACATGACGTGTGCGACGGATACGAACAATATTCAATTCGTGTTCGACGCCGTCACCGACGTCATCATTGCCAACAACCTGAGAGGATGCGGACTGTATTAGATCACACACCGCGTCGTAAGCACCATGTACCATTTGACACATGTTAAAGGTCCGTTATCAGTTAGGATTGCCGTTTTTGTATTTATTTTGATTTTACTAACAACTTATCCCATCAAACCTGATTATTCTGTCTGTCTTGCAACGTATGTATTATAATTAAGTTCACGAGTAACATAAATGATTCTCTAAATAATATGCACATTTTAATAGAGCCATTATTATTCTATTCACGTTTTGTTAATAAAAAAAAATAAAAAATAAAAAATCTAAATACATAATTAATTAAAAAATAACACTGTATTTTCTTATTTTAAAAATCATAGTACGATAATATTCGATCTCCATCATTATACTCGAATGATACGGTTTCACAATTGATTAATATTCAACGTAACTTTAATAATTATCGATATAACTATAGAAGATGTTAATTTTAAATTATAGAATATAAAAATAACAATTATAATTTTTTACTTACCAGTATTTAAAATCATGAAATTGAATATCACATACGCATTTTGATTTAATTAATATCATTTTTCATTAGATATTTATTGAATGGAATCTTTGTCTTAGCACTCTTCGATTTCTTACTATAATATATGGTAACTATGATTATTATATTTTTATAGGTTTGATTTAAAGTACACGAAAATTCAATGCACACATTTCCAAAATGGCCAGTTCGGTGTTCATGTTAATTTAAGGAGACGCATCGTACAATACAAAAATACACATACGCACATATATTACCTATACAAAATGTACCATAAACGTGTTACCTATCCTTATTAATTAATTTTAAGTTATGAACCAATTTTCAAATTAGCTTGAAAGATATATAACATATTTTATTTTAAAATAAAATAAAAGATTATATACAATTTTAACTTCCTTAATTTTGTAAAAAAAAAAATTAATATTATAAATTGTACTTTTTTTTTTATCAAAACATATTTGTACTAATCAAGAAAATAGGTATAAAAAAAAAATCATGTTTATGATAAATCAGTTAATATGCTTCAATACGCACAGTAAGATTACTTGACAATTTAAAAATTGAAATTCAATTTAGAAAATACTTTGAGTATGTGAGGACCAAACTTAAACAATTTAATTTTTAATGAATGAACAAAATCAAAATTTTATGAAAAATTTCTAATGAAAGTTTACGCAACTTTTTCTGTCATCCTTTAATACATTAATTAAATATTATAATCAAACCCGCATATCGATAAGCCTTTATGATTCATGACTATTCGAATGAAAATTCTACAGTGCCTATTATTATTCAATTATAATAATAAAAAATTAACAAAAATTGTTGTAAAAATTTAATTAAATAGGCCTAATATTCTAGCATTGAAATTCTATACATTATATAGAAAAATTTGTTTTCTGTGTAAATATAAAAAAAAGCGTAGAATAGATTTGTTTAGCTTTTAATCATTTAAATTTAATTATATACGAAAAAAATTAATTTAGGTCAGTAAATGTGAATACAAAATTTACACATTATAATTATTATTACTATAACTAATTGTACTACGGCACAGTGATTTTTATTCAATGTTTTATTCAAACCAATTTTTTTTAAATTGTTTACATTAATGATAATTAAGAATAAAAAAAAAAGTACATTGTTATTGAGGCAAGAAACAAATAACAATGAGGCCCACTTTTTATGTAAGTGTAAATAAATTTTTTTGGGAGTTTAACAAAAAAAAAAAAACTTGAGTATAATCACTTTTTTTCCATTTTGTACAAATCTTATTTCCTGTCCCTAAAAACAAAATAGCATGAGGAACAAATGATCATTTATTGTTTTGCATTGAAGTTGTTGGTTCTTATTGAGTGCAAATAACATAAAATTATATTTAGGTATTTATTTACCCATTTTTGTTTTTATGTATTTATGTTTTTTTTTTATTTTAGTAATAAATTATAGGTTTATTTTGTACAAATGTTTAAAAAAAATCCTTGTAAACAAATTCTGTTCTAGTCATAGATATTTATATTTACAAAATTATTACTAAATATTATAAAATAATAATAATTACTACTTATATTAATAATAAAAATTGTCTCCTTACAAGGTTGGACATCGTTATCTTTATAATTTATTATAATGTGTTTGATTGAATTATTATTAAAAAAAAAAAAAAAAACAAATTTAGCTTTGACTAAATTATTGTGTTCAATTCTATTTAAAAAATATCGTCAGATATCAATTTAAAGGGTACCTATTTATATGATTGAAGTTTTGTTTTGCTATTTTAAATAATTTCATACTAAAATGTAAGAAGAGTTTTAGTATTGATATAATATTGTTATATTGTACCAATAAGAGAAGACGTGTTTAATGTTTGGTGTGTAATAAAGGAATAGTTAATTATTGTTGAAATTACTCTTTAATATGCCACATAATGTAAAATTATTAAAATACTTTTTTTTTTTTTAATTAACTGTAAGATATACCTACTCATTTATAAATGGTACATAAACAAAAGCATAATAGCTTGATTTTATTTATATTTTTCATTATTTGAATGTTTTCATTATATTGAATATTGGCAATTGAGTTAGGGAATAAAATTTTATAACAAATTTGAATGCGTTATAATTGAGTATATAAGTGTGTTGAATTTTCAGCTTTATATCATGCAACTGTATTGGTTAAATATAAAATATATGGTAAAACTGGTTAGTTGTATGTCTCTCGTTTTAAAAATTACATGTTTCAAATTATTACACCATGATTCCGATTTTTGAATGTATAAATATATAATTATAATTAGGTACATGAAAATGTAATAATTTATAATAAAGCTATTATTATTATTTGAATAAGTTTAAATAGGAAGTTATTTATTTAAAATTGAGCTACTATTTTACTTAATAAAAGTTATAGTAGACTGAAATTACTAATTTTATGTACAATACTTTGTATTGAATAAGTACTAAAACTTATATTTCATATTTAAATTAAACCTAGTTTAATCAGATTATGGTGTAGTATAAAAATCCCAATAAATAATGATTTTATAAAAATACTAATTTGATTAAATTAACATAGGCATCTAAATCGACCTATGTACTACATACATATATTGTTTTTTTTTTTTTTTATATGTCATTAAAGATAATAAATAATAAAACACTTTTTGAAAATCGTTTTTAGTGTGCTTCATTTAAATCTATTGTATTTTAGTACAGTGAAGTCACAATAGCTCAAATCTGATTACGGATGAAAAAAAATGTAGGATTATATCTCATATATTACTAAAATCAGGGAAATATTTAGACTTACTTCTAGAGGGGAGGGGGGCGATACAAATTTTTTCTTTAATTCAGGCTCAAAATTTACAAGTAAAATTTTTGGTAGTATTTATATCAGATGAATCCTTAATATTTGTGTTTTTTTTTCTTTTAATCTAATGCCGGATCCACTTAGAATGGTATTTTGTGTAGTTCTTTTTTAACACCTATCTGAGTTTTGAAAGTTTTGTTGTGTTTTATCTAATTTTTCACTAAGTATGGACTGGGGCTCAAATCAAAATAATATATATTATTTATCGTTATGGGACATTTAAATGTTATAAGCAATTGAGCGTTTAACGCTATAAATTATTTAAACATTATTCAATTTAAGGGTTTAAACGTTTAAAAAAAATTTCCGTTTACCGTTATTGACAGTTAAAACACGTTATGAACAATTTAGCGTTTTGCGTTATTTAAATTAGTGTAAAATTTGATACGTTTTCAAATGTAGTATTTAGTAAACAATACTATGTAAAATAACATAACATATTTTAAATATTATATATATATATAATGTACCTTTGTAACTACATGTTTGTAACTTCTATTAAGACTATAAAATATAACACCACAAGATATACATTTGCAGCCCGTTATAAATTGCATGATGCAGATTTAAGAACCATAGGATGAATGTTTACAATCCATAATATTTTATTCAATGTTATCCACTACATTAAACACAGCGTTGTAATCTTCAACAGATAATTATTTGAATCAATTTCATAATTCATAATAATTTTTTTCAATGAACTATTAAATTATTATTATTTTTTTTGTTTTCGAGTTATTTTAGAAGCGTATACCTGTAAAATAATATTTTTCATTAGGTATACGTTAAAAATCGAAAATCTACTGATGGGTATATGCCGTATACCTACGTACCAATACACTCTTTAATATAGCCTTTAATGATATTTTCTTTTTGTAATTCTCATAACTCATAATTTTTAAATAAAGCAATCATATATGCTGTACAACAACAATAAAATGCACATACCACGTAAAATATATATGCATTGTCAATGTATAACTTATGTTCGGCGTATTACTAATATTTCAACGGTATTCACCGAAATTATTTTTTATGAGGCAGGCCATACATGTTCCGCGCCGACAATATCCGACATATTTTTATAAATTATAATTGGTAATGCTTATTTATATATTATTAGTTGATCAATTTATTGCTGTTTTAAACATCATTTTTATATATATTTTATTTAGATTACCTAGTAATTTAGTCAATTTTACAAAAATAACTATGTTCCAAATCTATTTAATTGATAGTTTAATTGATAGTTATACTCGTAAATATTTTTCGATGACAATTTCTTTTATGTTTCAATCGTTAATCGTTTTCTGTTATGTTATTTAATATTAATTTTAACCGTTTTTCGTTTCTGTTTTCGTCATCTGTTATCGATTTCAATTGCGTTTTGGATAGTTTAACGTTATACTTCTAACGTTATAAAAATGTTTTGGTTCCCTGGTTTCGACACTAAATATCGTTATAAAATGATGCATATTAAAATAATTTGAAATGTTTATCTCACATATGATCGATTCCTTAAATATACAGATTCAAAGCAGACGATCGTGGTGTACATACAAGGTAGCTTAAAATTTTTTACTCATGTAATGCTGTAATAATTATGGATATCATAAGTATTTTGTATTTTTTTCTTATAACATTTTTATCAAAACTAAAATGTGTAACAAATATGAATCTACATAAATACAGGCATAATACTAACATCAAAATGGCTTGCAAATGAAAAGGAAGAAATAACTTAATATTGGTTCATTAAATTACTTAGTTTATGTTCCTTGTATTGATTTTAATTTAGCCATGTAGATAACTATATTGTAATGTACTCAAAATTATGGTGTACAAACTGTAAACGATATTTCAGAACATAATATTTGATGCAGCTAAAAAATTAATCGTAACTATGAAATTAAAACCCACTTATTTATTTATCAATCATCTATAAATTAGTTTGAAAAAGTAGTTAGGTAAAAAAATAATTACATTTTAACAATTTAAAATGTATTGCTAATGTACTCGATATATTCGACCCATGTTGGAAAAGTTTTGTTTTTTGAGATTTTTGACCATAGTCTATACCGATGAATAATAATAACACAATGACTTCAAATAGGTGAAACGATTACTTGCAGGGTAAATTTACGTTGTAACTATGTATGACAGTCGTAGATTCAAAAGGTGTTGTTCTGCAAAAAATTAATTCCTTAATTCTGTAATCACATTCGTAAAAAAAAAAAAAAATTAGGTGTGTGTTGTTACCAAAACTGGTTGGACGGTATTATTTTTTATCATGAACATTAAGTAAAATAAGCTTTCCCGTTATAATAATAGCATATTATTGTCGACAAGAAAAGTAAATAGACAGAAATATTCAAAGCTACTAAAAACATAATGAAAACGATCATTCTATATCTAATTATATCTCTTTTGATAGGCGCTGTATTATTACTATATTATTGATTGAATATTCTATTAAAAATTCTCAAATCTGTCTTTATGTCATTTATATTAAAGACATATGTGTTACACATTATTTTTTATAGGTCTTCAGAAGGTTCTTTAGACATAATTATTTTATTTAATCCATTCAAAAAGTATGCGGTAATACGATGATTATCTTTAACTTGGATACTATTCAGCTGTGGTGTTCATCAACACCTAACTGAAAAAGAATGTTTTTGTTTCTTTTTATTTTACTATGCTCAATTTGATATTTATCAAGAATTTCCATAACTTCATCATACTTACGTTCAAACTCATTATTTGATTTCAGACATTTAAATATATCTATTGTACTCTGACACAAATCATTCGCTGCATAAAAGTTAAAATTTGAGGACTGCAAATATTTTGATAAAATGTAAATTTATTGAAATACATTTTTTTTTAAAACAATATATTAAATATAAATTCAAAATTTAATAGATTTGTCATCAAATATTTGGCTTCAGCTCCTGAATTTGTGTTATGATATAACATATAGCATATATGTTTAAACGTTCCAATGATTTTACTGAAGTTTAAATAAATAGATTTCAAAACATTAGTATGGCAACTCCATCTGATTTCACATTACTTTTTTAAGCTTTATGGTAAATTTACCTTAGATACTTTTGATCACGTGGGTTCATACATAGGTATGTCTACGGATTGCGCCTCTCGTGCACAGACACGACTTGCAAAATCGGACTTTAATTGTATTGTCAATTGATGAAAGTTAGTATTCCAGCAAAACAGTGCTTAGAATTATAGTAAGAATTAAAAAATTTTGTTATCATAGTCGTATTATAAGGACATAATGATTTTTTCATAAGTTGATGATTCTTTTCCTTTTGGTAACCCAGTATCGCGGTTGTATAATTTTGTATAATAACGACCTGCTAAAAGTCTAGATACGCCTATGGATTCATGCAATTCATTAGGTATAGACGATACTTAGATAAAATTGTGTAAGGATTGTAAGGTACCAAAAGTATTTTTCATATAAACTACTTCTTTTGTGAGATCAACTAATCACACATTTGATATATGAGCATAGAAGTGGACATACGAGTAGAATGTCAGTGGATATAATTTAAGTATTTTATATTGCGCTCTATTGTATGTTCCAACAATGGTATGATAGTTACCCCATCATGAAATAGGCTACGAACTTCGTTGGTTCCATGGCCTTATGAGAATAATATTATAATAATACTAATTTTCATGATTTTAGTATGGTACAAAAGTATACCTTTGCACCATTATATTTCAGATGTGGTGGTACAAGTACTATATTTGCATAGTTCATTTTACGCCACTGTGTTAATAAGCTTTTACTGAATTAAAACTCATTATTTTACAAGATCGATATTGGTCTATTATATGATAGAATATTATAATTTATAATTGACTCCCTCTGTCCACAGTTTAAGTATAGATAGGTATTATAGAAAAATGGTAATTATACTATTATAATGCATACCTATTTCTATTAGAATATGTTTGTTTTTAGTTGTGATTTATTTTTAATTAAAAAATTTACCTCATTTTTAGATATCATTTTTTTTTTCGTATCCTGGGAGTTGAGTCTTAAGAATTGTGAAGCTGGGAGTAAAAAAAATATTGATGTATATTATAAATTGATTGAATAATAATTAAATTTTGAAATTTAATCAATTTATTTAATTTATTTAATTAATTTTGAAATTTTCTAACATTTTAAATAATTAAAAAAATTACCTATTTAATATTTATTTTCAAAAAACTTAAAACTATAGTTAATTTTATTAAATAATCATAGTTTATTTATAGTAACAATTGTTTCTGATTTTGCAAAATATTATTAGTCGGTATTAAAATTTGAATCATTGCTATTCAAAACTTTTAAAACGAATAAATTATTTTTTTAATATTCAATGTAAGTGCTAGAGATTATTTATAATTGGTTTTCATAAATCAAAATAGTCGAAATCATAACATTTCAGTAAATTATGTGAAAATAAATGCAGCTTTTTATAAAAAAAAAAAATAAAACACAATAAAAATTATAAAATAGGAAAATTAAAATTGACTTTCAAAAATATTGAAAATTAATAAAAACGATCATAAATTAATAAAGAAACCCGTCTTATATAAAAATTGTAGTTTGTTAAATACAATTTTATACAAATATTAATAATATACTGGGAAAATAAAAAAATAAGTTAAAATATTTCTTAGGGGTCTTTGGCTTAGAAAGCTTTTATTGAATCATGACTTGAAATAATATAAAAATTATTAGTTGATTAAGTTAATTAGAAAATTAATAATCTTGAAAGGCGTAGCTAGAAATTACATGAATGGAGGGGCAACCAATTATTAAAATATATTTAGTGTTATTTAATAAGTGTATTTTTGAATTTTTCACATGTCAAATTTTTATCATATATTATGGTTTCTAATTATAACTTACAAGATAAATACAAAACAAAAAAAATAATCATATGTTAAAAATATACATGTACAATTTTATAGTTAATAAACTGTGTCATTGTTAGATAAAAAATGATTATTTGAGTACTTAAAATATAATTAAAAATAAAAATATATTGAAAACATAGAAATAACAATTTGAAAAATTATAAGCAGTTTAAAATTCAGTAAAATAACAATGAAATATTATACCATGCATAAATCTTGAGTGATATATATATATATGTATACCTAAAAAGTGTTAGGATCTAGGAGTTGATTTTTAATTCAAGTAAAGCCACAATAGGTTATTCATTAACCTAACGGTTTACACCATATTATGAATAATTTTACGGAAAATTATATATAAAAATTATGATATTATGTTTAATATGTATACAGGATTGTTTAAATTAGGTTTGGGGTTGTATAAAAACACAGTATAATATACTATAGTATATATAATTATTATTATTATAGTATATATTATATACATCATATTGGTGGACCTTCTTTGCTGTTCGCACTTACAAAGCATGAACAATGGATGTTAGAAATAATTGTGTTCTCTTTGAACGTTCTGGTGAATAGCCAGGTACGAGAGAGAAATAAAGAAAAGAGGGAGAGAGATAGATAAATGAAATTGAAAGACTTTTTCTCGAAAGTTTTGGGGGCGATAAACGACAAGATTATTGATCGCAGTGAGCGACCGCCAAGGAAAAAGTTTGTTGGGTCTTTGACGTGTTCAAAGACTATGGACTTTGTTCTGCACTACACGACCCATAGATGGCGTGACTTAAGTTTACGATCGTTCCAGATAGATGGATGGGAGGGGTTGGCGTTTATTGTATCGCGCGTGCGGACCGAGGCACTCCGCAGTTGCCAAATACCCGTGTGGCGTTGTACTACGATTGTCGTCCGCCGCCACAGGTCGTCCCGCCCGAGAAGATAACTTGGTAATATTTTTTATTATTTCGGTTTTTACCGTTTCGACTGTTCGAATGCTGGAAGTTCCGCGAATTGTTTCGTTCAAGATGAGTTAAGGCATACGCTCGTTTGGGCGCATTTCACATCGTCGCGGACGCCGTAAACATCGTTCTTCCCCCGTACACTCGCCATATCGTCAACCTCCAATTCTATCGAATGCAACAGTTCAACGGTAGTAAAGCGATTGAATGCAATATTATCCTACGAAAATAATGACGACAAAACGCGGTGATGCTGGGAAATTGGAAAGCAGCAGGGCGATGATAGTAAATGTTTGGCGGTGAAACGTCAAAGTGGTAGTGTTCTGTTTTGCCGATGTGGATGCAGGGCGCGGATCGAGTTGCAACAATCATGTACGACTTTCGGCTATCGTTGTTGGTGACGAATGCGATAATCATCGTTACGACGGTTGACGGAACGATCGACGGCGAATTGTCCGCAGCCGAAAAATCGTTACAGTTCGAAGCGGCGTTTCAAGGTAAGCTCTATAAATAGGTGTATAATGTGCATATTATATATATACACACACACTAATCAAATCATTAAAATAATAATTCAGTGAATTTTCATCACGTTAAAAAACCAGTGTAACTGTAAATGGTTTGAGAAATTGTAAGATTCAACATTAGGTGCAGGTTAAATGAGTATTTTTAATAAAAATAAAATAACTCCTTATTAGCTAGAATCTGCTATCGTACATAGTTCAAGATAGTTTATTTTACGAGCGATGCTCGACTTGGAAAAATTAAAGAAAAGGGATTTTATTTATTTAAAAAAAAAAAAAAAAGCGTCCCCAAAACTTATTAAGCGTTGTAATTATAACGTAAAAATATTAGGGGGACGCTAAAATTCCTAAAAATTAGTTGAGGTACTGCGCCCCCTCAAGTCAAGCATTGATTACGAAGAATATTAAAATCAAAAACCTAAGACATAATTGTTTGATTTATATATATATAGTATATATATATATATATATATATATATATATATATATATATATACGTATAAATATATTTGTCCGATGTAAAATTTAAAAATAAACGGTACGGCAATATTTCATTTCTATAGATCGGTTTATCCAATGGATCAATCATATAAAATAATGTACAAGACCATTATTATATTGTACTTTGAATTTAAAGATGAGAAAGGTAGCCGCTTCGGGACGTATTCGTCGTCATTGGTGGCACAAGGGAGGACTCCCTTCGCAATACGGGTTTTCTAACCATCACCAGCCTTTGAATATTTTACTTCTATTATACTTATGAACGAAAAGTTTTTTTTCATAATAAATATAAGCAAGTGAAGTACCATAAATCAAATGGTTCAATTCTCACATGTGACTGCACTTGCATGTATTATGTAAAACAAATTTTACAAGTCTATTTGGACTTCACATTATTTTATAGTACAGATTAGTTATATATCAAACTTTTGAAAAAATAATTGTTTATTTTAGTTTCCATAATCAACACAAATAAGTTTAATATTGTTTATTCGCTTGAATGAATTGTATCATCCCTTCATAGGTTGTTAAAGTTATAGGAAGAAGTTTTAGAAAAAAATAAAAGGTTATTATAGTTTTAAACGTAAAATTATTACTAAAATATTAGCATTTTATAAATAAATTACCTAATAATCTATTTTTGAAATATAAAACAATTAAGCGCTAGTAAAATTATAAAACATACTTAGTTAAAATAAAAAGTAATTGGTAAAAATAGAAATTTCTAGACAAAAATGATTACTTAAAAATACTATGGAGAAATTATTTGAAATTTATTTTATTTTCATTTATATTAGTTTTTGTTGACAATATAACTATATCAGTGGTTTTTAAATTTAAATTTGTTATCGGTTTTTTTGTCTCGTATCATTTATTAAATACATTTTTTATTAAACATTTCTAAAACTGTTAACTAATTAATTTTTATACAGAAAAGTCTATTTATGATTTAAACTGATATAATAATTATAAACATGCAAAATAATTCATCCAATAAATCAATGGAATGAAGTCATCAAATTTGGAATAATTTTTGTCGTTAATTGTTACTTCAAATAAGTACATGATTTTTCATCAGGTATTAATAATAATTTTAAATTGAATATTATATTTTACATAATGTATTTCCCGTATAAACTTCCAAGACATATAATGCTTTAAATAAATTTTGGTTCCCCAAAAAATAGGTTAAGACAAAAGCATCATAATAAAACATATTACTTTCAAAAATTAGAATTTATACCTATTTGTGATAATATTTATACACATTAACTATCATCCTTATTATGTGTTAAGCTTATTTAAATGAATATGGTAAATTATAGACATTTGTTTCGTTTTAGTCATCCCTGGATCATTTCATTAAAATAAATTGAGAAAAATGTATAGCCAATGAGCTTATTATAACATTCAGTATTTATAGTCGGTTTTAATTTTTGTCACTAGCATTATTCATAGTTTATATGTTACTTTTGATTTATGATAATTATTTATTAAAATCCAATGCTATAGGTTATAATATTTTTATCGTTTTTATTTTATATTGCGTAAACTTCCGTCTGTATCACGTTTTTTTTTATGTGTACATTGTATATATTGTACGTATTGTGATTTTGGCTCGATATGCTTTTAAATGTGATTTCATTGGCGTTAGTGTGTTTGTGTATTTTTTTTTTTTTCATGTGTATTATTATACCATCTTATAATATACTAATACTTCTCCGTTTTTTAGCCTAATCGGCTTATATGTCGAATATATTAATGTATGATAAGGGGAAATAAAGCTCACGACATCAACGGTTTATCATAACGCGTAGAACATATTTGGTAAGATATATATTTAAGATATATTTAAGTTAAAATATACATCGCGAGTAACTTAAAATCCAAACAATATCAAGTACGCCGTTTTTGTCATCTTCGCCTAACATTTGGATCACCATTGTTCAACGCTGTAGTCCAATAATCAGGTGTATAAATTTAATTTTCAATATTTTATACTTAAGTAATATACATAATTGTGTTTTCCATTTGATTACTATATATTTTATAAGATGAACGAGCCCTAGAAGTCCCACATAAGGGGAATGAATATTTACCATATAACTTAAGAATGTTGAGTACAGAGATAGTTTAGCCAACTATACCGTTAGGATTCTACTAGATAACTATCGGCGGACATTCGGTATTCGTTAAGAATAGTCACGTTACACTATCGTTTTATATAGGTAGTTCTTTATCATATTTCATGGTCCTGAACTATACGTACAAATATATACATGCCATACACATATCTCACCATAAACTAACGATTATTGGTCATACTCATAAAACTCGTTATTTTTCTCTGAGTAGCTATATTTATACTATATATATATATACACATATATAATTAAATACCTTTTATTTTCTAGGTCAGGTCTATGATGATTAAGTTACACGTATAGAAAATTATTGTTTGAGCGAGTATAATATTAACTTATGTACCAAGTTCATAAAATTATAAATAAATAAAATAATTAAAATTATAGAAAGACTTGCAACTAAAATTATAAATTTACAAATGATCAACCATTTAATATCAAATATCCTGTGGAATGTATTTAATTTTTTAGTAAGGACGTAAAATACTTATATTCTATATTTTACTTTATTTGTATGAGAAATGGAAAACTTTATATTTCAACAAGAATGTTCTAATTATATTAAATGTATTCTTATATTTTAATGATAAAAATATTATTTATGATTTATTCTTATATCATACAATTTTTTATTTCAAAATTTATTTTTAATAATTTTACTGCCTTTGAGATTATCATTATGCTATAAAACTAATTATTTTTATCACAAATAGAACATAAGACTAAATTATAAAAAAAACACTGATAAAAAATTATATTATAGCATTCATAATAATGAGTGAATGGGAATTAAGGTGGATGGATATTTTGAGGGAGGTAACTGAAGACTGTAAAATGTGAGAAGTGAATATATCTACTGGAAAGTAAAGAAACAATTAAATAAGAGGTAATTTAAAACACAAGTAGCTTCTTAATAATGAATGATACTAAGAAGAAAATAATTTAAAGACAGGTGGAAGAAGTGGTAGGGAAGTAGATTGTGTCTGATTCTGAAGCGAGTAATGGAGACAATTAGGTGTCTAGGGATGTTTAAACGTTTAAACCAAGAGTGAAGAGGAATATTGAGAATTGTATTTCCATGCCAATTTAATGTTTTGAATTAAATAATTTTGTTTTTGCAATATTATTAAATATAAGAGACAATCATGGTTTATTGTATAGGAATAAAAAAAAAATGTACATATTATTTTAAATGTTTAAATAAGGCGTATTGCATATGCAAAATTAATACATACGTGTATCGTTGATAAAATATGTTTTTCACATGATTATTCTTAGTTATTGTGTAAAATATATGAGAGGTATCAATTATAATTTGAATTAGGTAACTGGGATGTATACATATTTTATATAAATACAAAATAGCAGCGTTATGTAATTAAAGTGATTGCTTCTTATATTCATTCATTAATATATGAGAAATTATTAACTACATAATTTATTATTTATTATAATGGATAAATCGTAAATTAGTGTTTGGAATTTGCATAAGCATATATATATTACATTATACAAAAAACAGAGAATCAGGATGTTTGTGGAATAATATAAGTGGAATTTAAATATATGTAATAATAATTGTTTTATATGAAACTAAATTTAATATACACTAATGTTATATTATATTTATACCATTTATAATGTTAATCAAATAACAAGAATGTTATGTATGCACGTTTTAGTTGTTATTAAACGCTCGAAACTTTATTTGCGATCCTTCATTCGTGTGAGTTATTTGTAGAGAGTAACTCCAACTTGTGACCATTGATTATTAATATAATTTAACAGTTCGTTTAACAGATTTATTATTAGTCACATGTGTACGAATAAACATTATATTAATTTTTGAATTCATGACAAAAATCAAAATGATTAAATAATAGGTATTTTAATTAAATTTGATGGAAATATATTAATTAAATATTTTATTTACTTTTGGTGTCCAGAATACACTAGTAAATATAATTATTTAAATATGTATGCATGTTCATGGACGTATAATAATATATAATACGATATTGTTTTACAGTTTTTAAATTATGTAGATACTTAGTTTATTTTATTTTTATTCTTAAATGTTCAATATATATTGGACTTTCACTAAACAATTGTAAAAATTATTATAACGGAATATATTCTTAATTTAAAGAGCACTTTAATTTTTGCAATTATATTTTTCTGTTCTATAGGTCTTTTAGTGAAGAAAAAAAATATAATACTATCAGAAGTTTAAGCTTAATCTTAGTTTAAAAATTAGGTAGAAAATTAAAACTAATTTAATAATACAAAGTTACTAAGCCTATTAAATGCTGCACGTTAGTATATTGC